GCACACGGTAGACCGTACAGACCAGCAGTGCGGCCTCGGTTTTGCTACATAGTGCTACACTAACACCAGCCAAGCCTGCCGCAGCTGCTTCTGTATAACCAGATAGACATAAGTGAAATATGCCTCCTTGGTTGGTGGGATATCATAACACAAGCACAGTACTGGAATCTTGCAAGCGTGTTTCGGAAACACAGCAAACATCGGTGGCGAGGGTTTCTAAGGTGCGCGCAAGACCAGCCTGCTGCCCCATCTGCATGAGTGTGTACATTGAAGCATGCCAAGTGGAATGAGGACCGAGGCCGAAGAAGGGCCACTAGGCGACCTCTTTGGGTGCCGACGAAACCATCGGGAGTAGAAATAATGGAAACAAGGGTCAGCTGGTAACAGATAAGTGATTGATAACAAATGAAAACGTGGTGTGTGAATGTGTGTGAGTAGCTGGAGCAAAAGCAGCTGAGAGCGATATAGCAGATGAAGACGAAGACGAAGCTGAACAAAAAACTGGGGAATTGGGAAACTTTGATGAACGCCACTAGTTGTCGGAAAGATTTCCGAGAAGTCGCCATAGACCCTAACGTGGCCTGTGATGTTCGAGTACAGAGCAAGTAGAATGTTCATCTATTTCATGGAAACAGCTTTCTTCACAAGTATCACAAACAGAATGTATCGATCGACTGAAACTAACGCACACATGAAGTCGAGAAACACAGCTATTGTCGACCTGCGGTACGTATGGCGCTGCTCTAGCACAAGCGGCAGAGTGTATATGTGGTCTATACAGCCGTGACTCTATCGGAAGCCCACTTGCTCTTCCGTAATAATGGATTCTGATATGGTCGTACCAGATAGATCAAATCGCGATGGTTCACACCGACTCCTGAATGAGAGGCCAAGGTATTGAGAGAACACGTGACACTGGCAAGTAGTAGGTGTATTGAGTACACAAAACCCCAAGGGCCAAAAATGCCAATAGCACAAAACTACGAGTGTCTGTCATAGTCGAAACATGTGCAATTTTATAGGTGTGTTTCTTCACAAGTGTTGCATGTTGTGTGAGCCAAGGGACAATAACAATGTTCGGTTGCATAAAACAAACACACTGTTCTGGTTTTGGGCGAAAAACATGCCAACTCTGTGTAATTCACATGTAGTCATTTGGTGCACACAAATTGAAACATGCTTGGTTCCGTGTTCTTGTTGTAAGTACAAGTTCGAACACAATTCTGTGGCACAGTCTGGCTTCGACTATCCAAACCCCTGGATCTTATTCGGGTTAGGTTTTGGTTCTAACCCTAATAGATTCCTGCTTCGCAGTGAGGCGACGAATAAGAATCAAAAATGGTAATTGTGTCACCACCGGCGTTAGGCTAATATCTCTGTGGTTAGCACAGTCGCGATTCGACTGTGCTTCTTGTATATTGCCAATAGGATCGATTCACTCTTCGTTCCAGGCCTGTTTAAACAGCGATGTCAGTGGGTTGCCAAGGAAACTACCATCATGCTTTCATAGTGCGGATCAAGGAAATCCAGAAAAACAACTAGAATACGATTAACTGCTGTGATCGTGTTTCGGACCTCAGCTTTCGATGGGACTTATAAACTAATCCATGGTTCAGCCTGCACCACCTGAGCAGGAAGAGACATGGGAGCAGGTGCCAATTTAACTGATCTCCGAAGAACCCATTTACGGAATCCGCAAACACGAAGAACAAAAGGAAAAGAAGGTCCTACGTTTCGGCACCGCTACAACTGAAGGCCGAAGAATGAAAAGCCGTATGGATTGATGGAACAGCTATTGATCTTTTGTGACCAGACCAGGGAGGTTCACCGTGCGGAACTCATGTCAGCGTAATGTAGCCACCTAGGAGAATTCCCGAAAACGTTTCCTTCTGATCCGGTCCACAGGCGGCAAAAAGCCGACTGCAATGGACGTTTTGTGCGAAACAAATAGCGAGCCAATCTACTGTCAACAAGGTCGATTTGTTCGTTGGACCGAGCAGTTTACACAGCAGTATAACTGGCCAGGGGCAATTCAGAGTATTGCCTGTTGTGTAGACGCTTCGCCTCTTAAAGCGGTGCAAACCTCCTGGCCCAGACGAACTCCCTCCAGCTCATTTCAAAGAAGGCTTATTTCTTGTTCGGTAGTTAGCTTCTCTCATATAAGAAGTTCGGCTCACTGAAGCAATCCCGTCTGAGTGGAGCGTAGGGGATTTCGTGCCAGCCTTTATAAGGAGTGCATGGACAGATTGCGCTAACAACAGTATTAGTCCCATCTGTATTGCATCCAAGGTGTTCGTCACTCTGACTGTTAAGAGACTAAGCCTGGTAAGCGAACAGAACATACAAGAAGAGCAAGCAGGGTTCCGTCCTAGACGGAGCTGCATCGATCCCATCTTTACGATCCCACAAAAAATCGACTGTTGTCAAACCTTCGGCAGATCAACGATTGTCGTCTTCTTAGACAAACAAGCCGCATTTGACTTACTTGATCGAGTTGCTCTGGAGTTGTTTGTTGAGAAGGGGGTGTCCGAGAAGTATGTCGACATTCTCCAAACGATCTAGTTTCGAACATTGGGCCGACCGCGGGTGTACGGCAAACTTTCGCTCATCTTTAGTGTCACCAGTGGCGTGGGACACGGCTACTCAGCATCACGCTTCCTTCACAATTTCGCTGTGGACGACATACTGGAGAGAGCTCTGGAGAACTGAGAACACAGCGGCGTTGAGCTGCTTCCAGGGTACTAACTTCGCAATTTGGAGTATGCAGATGACGTCGCCGTAATTTGCTATTCCTCGCAAGCCACGTAAAAAAGTGCTGTGTAGTTCGGAGATGTCTGTATCCCAGTTTCGAGTGACTTTCGCTCCATTGCAGTGTAACATCTCTCTACAAGACTGGCTAGAAGCTGCTTCTACACTTAGCCTTTCAGGTCTGGAAGCAGTAGTCAAGTTTGTTCCCCTCGGAAGCTGCATAAACGCTAACAGCTTAACGGACGATGCAGCTATGCGCGTCTCCAAGGCCTGGTTGCTTTTGCTAATATCTGTCAGCTATGGCATTGGCGTGACCTGGGTCTCTCATTGAAGAGTCGAGTTTACAACGCCGCGGTAAGATCGGTACGTTGTGACTTGGCCTATCCGTGTAAATGACATTCAGAAGCTGTCTTTGAGCAACACTGTCGTCGGAGCATTGCTAGTGTAAGATGGTAATATCAGATTAGTAATGAGGATCTTCGTTGAGGAATTATTAGACCAGACAGACTTTGCCAGCCGCTGAATCGCATAATTACCCTACACGTATTTCGGTGACATGGGCGCGTGTTTCGCACACCCAATAACCGGTTTCCTCACCGTGTACTCCTCACGGGCAAAGTCGCCTTGAGACAAAAGCGAAGTGGCTAAGGGATGGCTTCAGTCAAAAGTATGAAGGTACTGGCCTCAAATGTGGCCGCGGTCGGGGGCCATCGGTTCACTGGCTGCGAGCGCAAAGATCATGGCCAGAAACCTACTGGAACGCTGCAAGCAACCCTGCACAATGGTGATCATGTTGTGGAATCCTATTGGTGGTTCCACGTTGCTCCTCCCAACCCTGACACCGAACCACCAATACGGTTACGGTCCTTGTGATCGTAATGACTGAGGTCTACTTCAAAGAGGACCGAGGTCTGAATAGAGATTGCGAGTCGCAATCCAACCACACAGCGGGTACATCAAATGCCACTTGTGGGATCATACTTCCGTAACCACAGTGTTACGTCTTCGCTCTCGCGTCACTATCATTGCATTGCAAATATCCATGTGTTGTGGCGCTTTGCCAATTGTACTATGGCGGCGTCCGTATCCGGATTTGCCTGTCACTGTCACTTCCATGGGGACAGTCACAGGACGCCAGCGCATACTGAGGGACCATAAGTGGCTTGCGCTGCATCAACCACAGTTCCATCCACATACCCCATATCCAGTGTAAAGCCGAAGGAATAAGACCGGGAGGCATGTGGATGGGAGCCACGTTTCATCAACGGAGCCGGCTCACACTCCTTCACTGGCAAACACAAGCACGATGTACTTGGGGAATCAAGCGAACACAAGATGGTGGCTGGACCGTAGTCCGCATTACACTGAGTGCATGGAACCACACTTCGAGCCTAGCACGGCCACAAGGACAGGGCACCCCGTCCCCTCCAGCAACGACCAACTGTCTCCTGGAGCCAGTATGGACAAGGTAGTAGGTAATAGACGCGCTATATCGCCGTTAGCTTGTAAACCATGACGGTCCGAAGTTGTCCCCCGTGGCCCAGTGGCATAAGCTGCTGACTGGCGGTTCAAGCCGCTGGTGGTCATGGGTTCGAATCCTGATGGATTCGATGGATACACACTACTGATGATGCCCAACAGGCTGCAACTGCAGTCTAGTGCTTTTCCGGGCATGTGGACCATTATCTGATTTGGAAACTGGCTGCGAAGAATCTCAACTAATTACATCAAAATCCCCTACTCATGAGTAGATCAAGAGAAGAGTTTGCAGTAGCATCCGCTGGTTACACCATTCGGTTGCATTTGCAAGACTAGAATGTAGTTTGAACATTGCCTAGTTGGCTTACTCCCCATTTATTGCAAGCGAATTTCTGCTTAAAACCTAATATATCCAAAGTGGTCTGCGAAAAGTCTATTTTGTTTTGCAAAACGGCCAAAGTAGTTTGCAAAACGTACACTTTAAAGTGAAAGGAATATATATATATATATATATATATATATATATATATATATATATATAGGGGCTATATTCAAAACCCAGCTAACATTTCCTCTACGGTTGTATCTTATCTATGCCAAATAGAACCAGCTAACAGCATACCAAGGCAGCTAATTTAATAATCAGGCACTAATGATTAAAAAGATCCGCGAAGTTGAGTGGAGTTTCATGATAATCAAAATCAGGGAAAGCAGTAGGCAATCACCAACAAAATGTTAAATGCCTAGGGCAAAGCGATAGCGTAGTTACTCACAGACAACTCATTTTTGACGTAGCGGATAGTTGCTACAGCATGTTCCTGATTTCGGAAGTCACTGGAACAACCCTTAAGCTCCGTGTCGGCGCCGTCCTCGTCGTGATTGTACGCAACTTTCCCGTTGCTGATCATAGCGCTGACGTAAGGGTGATCCCGAGGATGCTCCTTGCGATTGGCGTATGTGTCAAAAAATATACCAAGGCCACGAAAAACTTCGTGACTGCCAAATGCTTTGCCTAAAATGACGAGAATTCACTAACACAATGACATAGACCAACAAACCGTATAGTGAAGGAGATTCTGTGTACCAGAAAGCAAAGCCGTCGCCGAAGAGGTTTTTCTCGGCGCCATGCACGTGAAAGCTAATACGAACCTCCCAATCCCGAAACGTCACAGGAACAACACTGTGCATGCCACCGACTTGACCGGGCAACTCTCGAGTTAAACGTATGTATGGGCTGTCAACCACCGTTTTTCCGTAGAAAGACCAACCATCTAGAAAAGAAGACGATAGTCTCAATAAATGAACTGAAGGTAAACGCACTCGTCGGGAATAGGGCAGAAAAATAGCAAAGTAAGTCACATCACGTGAGCAAGGTCAGATAGCTGGTGTTAGAAAACTGAAATCGGTGATCGTTGTTTGAGACGGATTCTCATACATACGAAACTTACCGGAGTCAACTAATAAATAATAATAATGTGTCAGCTGTACGCCGTAACGGCGCTTCGCTGCCATGGGACCACCACCAGTCGCACGCGGATTGAGTATACCGCGAGGACTCCTACCCGTACGCAAATTCGAATCTGCGCCGCAAAATTACGAGACAAGCTAGTTACCTCTAGGCTACGGGCCGACTAAGATGACGCAAACAATGTGACAGAGAAAGCACCCATGAGCGTACCAAAGATGAGTTAAAAATAGTCTAGTTGGGATAAAGCCTGAGTACGTACAGAGTGGCTTATAAACCAGAACGACGCAGAAAAGAGTGGCGTTAAAAGATTAAAATGGAAGAGACAGTCAAAGAAAGCAATAATGAGACTATCGTATCCAGTCAGCATCATGCTCCAGTTAACAATGAATATTCAAATATCAGTAAAAAAAGGGAATTTGTTGCATAAGTGACGGAAATTGGACAAACGACAGGGTTAAAAACATCCGTGACTGATTGCTTCGACCAAATAGGCCAAATAACGTCAGCCTGTCATAATTCAGTGAACTGATAAAAGTCCTTTAAGATTACTCAGCACGGCAGCTGGAGCTATCTCATTAAAATGACCCAAGTGAAATAATGGGGAACAGGACCGTACGGTACTGTACGCTCAAAGCTCCTGCTAACAGAAGTAATAATAATAATGTGTCAGCTGTACGACGTAACGGCGCTTCGCTGCCGCGAAACCACCACCAGTCGCGCGCGGGCTGAGTATATCGCGAGGACACTCACCCCTACGCTAACAGAAGAGCCAACAAAAAACCCAACACCGAGTGCCGAAATACTATCACCACGTTAACGACCATCACCATGACACCGACTAGGCGTCTCTAAACGGATAGCCTAGACAGTAATGGAAACAACAATCGGTCATCACATACATAGTCGTAAACACCCAAAAAATGCAAATAAAACGATGACCAGAAAACTAAAACGGAGACGACGAAATGTGCCATCGATTTGTCAGCTGCTTCAGGTGCATTCTCAGAGCAGACGTACTGGCTTGAGCAATTTCTGATTACATCGGTAAAGGGTTAAGATGCAATAGCGTGAACTAGCGTGCAGCCTTCTCCGCTAGTCATGTAATTCCTGCAGCAGATTTTATGAATCACATTCGTTTTTCAGCACCTACCCCACGCTTTCCTTTCGGTTGAGCAAATTTGATCCTATGTGGCAGTAAATGTCGTCTCCATTTCATAAATTCCGTTGACATGAGGTAACATAATTATGTTCAAAACTGCCGCAGTTGACGAATTGAGTTGTGGCCCCTTTGTGATACCAGGTAAAGCAGTACTTAGTGAGTAGGAACTACGTTCAAGCAGGTCGAACAGATGGTTTTTCTACTTTCCTGAACCATCGTGTGTTACGCTTGTAAGTTGTTGAGTGCTCACTGTGATAGTTCACCATTTTATTTGCATGCGCTATATCTCGATAAACCGGTGTTCCTATTGCCGAGGCGGCATAATTTTACGACGAGGTTAAGATATGCAAGTGACTAATATTATCTGCACTGCTGGTATTGAATCAGTTCAGTGCAGCTGATCAACTACAAGCCGAGTACCGAATTGTGGTGGATCCAGTTGCCACGACGCATACGGAAAGAACAACAATAAATAACAACAGGAGGACAGGGAGGTTAGGATGCGAATAGAATGTGGAGAAAACAAAAGCAAGAAAGAAATGCATTAGACTAACTAGAATGGAAGGAAATTAGAAACAGATGAAAGAAACCAAGTGCAGGAACGCCACTGACTTCGTGACTGCGCCATGTCAAACACGATCTCCAACCATTGGTATGGACCGTCCCGAGGTCCTCATAAATGAAGACGGCATGCACCAGCCTGGCCAAGTCTCTCAGTCAATTACTTCATTCCTTGATGTCACGTCATGGACTAGCCACCTCGAGGTTTCACACAAGTTGGTGTAGCCACGGCAAATAATGCACGCCGAGGAAGCCGATCAAAGGACTTACGGAGAACATGGCCTAGGCAACACAAGTGACTATGATTCAGCAAACACACAAGTGAAGCACCAGAAGGCTTTTTGCGAAAAACCCACTGGAGGACCTCAACATTTCTCACTCGGTTCCCACTAAACGTGAGCAACAGTTCGCAAGCACCGGTGGTCAAACACCGCCAAGCGTTTAATGTCTTGATTAAGAATTGGACATATCTCCGATTCATACAGTAACACTGATTTTATCGCGGTATTATACACCGTACATTTCACTGACAATCTGATATCCCCTCATCTCAATAGATGATTGAGCATCTGGGAAGCCACAGGGGCCTTGCAGATACGCGAAGTAACTTTCTCAGTGATGTGACCACCAGAGGTGACACAAGTACCAAGGTAAGCGAACCGATGCACCATATCCAGTGGCTGTTCAGAAATAGCTAAAACCGGAGGTGTCGGCCCAGTCCTGCAACAGCACATGCCGAACCGTGCAGCGCTATGCACTGGTCTGTACAATAGTGTTTGCGTATCCAAAGCATCTGACCCAAGGAGAACTATGTCGTCCGCATACGTCAGGTTTGTCAGTTGGTCGCTTGGCAGAACTTTCACTCCAGAATAGTCTAAAAGAACCGAATCATTCATGATCATTTTGATCACGAAGTGGAAAAGGAAAGGAGATATAGGACAACTCTGGCGAACCCCAATTGTCGTGGGGAACTCAGACAGTTTTCCGTAGACCCTTACACGGCCTCCGGAATCACGGTATAGGGGCTTCAGAATGGAAAAGAGTTTAGACGGCACGCCCTTCACGGGTAGACAGCGTCACAAGCTGCCTCGATTAACAGAGTTGAAAATGGCTTTCGAGTCAATGGAAACCATCACAGTCGGTCGTCTTTATATGTATCTCTGTTGTAAAACTTCGCGAAGAGTAAATAGGTGGTCAATGCCACCACGGCCAGGGCAGAAGCTAGCCTGGCTTTCAGTGATTCCGGCCTCACGGAGACGAGGGTAAGAATTCATCAGTATTAGTACCCTTGACAGCGATACGTCAGCAAGTGAAACATATGATTCGATAAAGACAAATCATAGTGAACTAAGGAATAACAGATAATAACAAAGAGGTAAGGGGCACTTAATGTTAAGCCGAAATGTTCTAAGCCAACATCCAGTGTCAGGGCGTTCATGCCCTGTCAACAAGGCACGAACACAAACAGCTGGTTTTCATGCGATAAGGCGGCATCGGTAAGGCATCAGATGTAACGGATATTATAAACTTGAAGTAACCCTGGAATATTAGGCCTAATAGGCTGTCGCCCTTCCACACAGTAGGATGGCACTCATTGTGGCCTTGAACTGTACAGTGATGTCATAGGTTTAAGGTAGCTCTGGCCTTCGCGACGAATGTACTAATTTGAGCAATCATGCGCCCAGCACTGCTAATGTAGTAGTCCAGGTGAGTGAACTGCACAACTACCGTCAGTTCTTAGTCATTGAGAGTAAAGTGATCGTCAAATTGTTGGTAATTCTGCAACAATGCTTTGCACTATGAAGGTAGGAAGCACAAACCATAAGATAGGACCAATGCAGGGTTGATTGAGATACAGTAACATTGTTGAACAGAAAGACAACACAGTCCGCATAATCAAGATAAACAATTTTACCACCAAGTAATACTACAATACCTGCATCTTGAGACTTGGTAAGAGAACGATTCAAAGTGGAGTATATGATAAAGCTGAACAGAAATGGCGTAATGAGAAACTTTGGCGAACGGCACCTGTTATCTAAAATGCGTCTGACAATTACCCATTGAACATGAAGTGTGATGCTCGATTAAGGGGCACATAAAGTGAACACACCTATCCACTCAAGTACGTCAGACAGAATGGAACGACCGACTGTCGAAAAGACTCTCTATGTCGAAGAACGCAACATCCGTCAGTCTGTGGAACATTGGACGCTGTTTTAAAAGCTTCCTGACAGTGGACATATCTAAACCTGAGTGGAAACCCGACTGCTCTTTCATCATCGGACGATGATTGCGGCAATGACTTAAACGATACCAGTGGCAGACTGATATCCAATTATGTTGGCTGGCGGCCGAGTGGTCTGCACGCCTGACTTGCAATCTTAAGGTCACCGGTTTGAATCCGCGTAGGGGCGGGGGTCCTCGCGGTATATTCAGCCACGCGCGAGTAGTCGTGGTTGCGCGGCGACGAAGCGCCGTTATGGCGTGCAGCTGATAAATTATTTATTACTCATGAATAGGGGATTCTTGATACAATTAAAGGTGGGCTCGTCGCAAGTAGAGACGCGTTGTATCGCAGCGAGCTTTCATTTCATGACGGTCCGCCGCTGCCACCTGAGTTCAATAACCCAAGCTGCTGGTCGGTGATTCGAAAGAGAAAAACAAAAGCAATGCAAAGGCAAATATCATAATATGTATACGGCATTAGGTCATTGTTGAAGGCGGAAGCTAAAAGGAAGGGGGCAAAGACACTCAAAACACAAATGCCGTTGAAGTTGGCGTCTTGTTATATCCACGAATGTGTTCATCGTCCTTGGAATTCAAGCCCAGCATTCGGGACACGCCACTCGACGTCAACTTTCAAGCGAGTGCTTTCATGCCGCTTGACCATGCCATCAATTGACCACCCTTCCTCTTCTTCCATCCACACCCAGGACGCGCAAACAACGCACGACTCGGGAGTCGGTGTGTTGGCATGCTCAACACTTGTCCTAGCCATCGGAGTATGGTGCGTGAAATAACGATATTGAGCGGTTCAATGGCTCCTTCTGCACCAAATACGCGACGCTGAACACATTCAT